TGAAACAAGTGTTTAGATAATGTGACTGAGAAGTGAATTTGTTTTTGAATGCAGGAGCAACTAGAGAAGAAGAAAGCGGAATACGCAGAGAAAATGAAGAACAAAGTTGCGGCGATTCACAAGGAAGCAGAAGAGAGAAGAGCAATGATCGAAGCTAAACGCGGAGAAGACATTCTTAAAGCAGAAGAAACAGCTGCTAAATACAGAGCTACTGGAATTGTCCCAAAGGCAACTTGTGGATGTTTCTAAAATGTTTAATTTTACTAATCAAAACTTCAAGAAGCTTTCATTCAACTGTAAAGTGTTAAACAATCTCTCTATCATCTTTATTTGGCTTTTGTGTTTATATTGATTTTTGTGTGTCAAAACATCAGAGTGAAAGATTTGTTCTTTATCAGTAATTTATCTTGAGCATCATCATCAAATCATAAAGAGAGGATTCATAACTATTAAAGAACAATAAAGAGAGATATATATTATAAGTTCATAAGCTACCTAATGCTGATTTTTACATAGATACTATTATCACTACTTCTGATCAGTAAAGACCAAAATCAAACCCAAAGTTTTGAACTTTTTCATAAGATCAGAATTTAGAAATCATGAGACTCGGTGTAGCTACCAATGTTCTCTTCCAAGAAACTCATATCATCATCACTTATCGGAAAGTCAAGGAGAAGCTGAAGAGCAGAATCCGTCGAATCTCCCTCGAGATCATTCGAACACATAGAAGAACCAGAGCGAACAATCTCTTTCCCACCACAAGACTTTGTTGAGCTCTTTTGAAGTGCAGATGATGAAGAAGTTGTTGTCCGAGAGCAAGGGCTTTGACTAGTAGTTGAATCATCAAAAGGAGCAAGGTTTCTAAAAGAGTCACCAATCTCAGAGTTCCAAATGCGTAAGAAGTGATCACAATCAGTTTTAACAAGACCAGAGGAACAAGGAGTAGTAAAAAGCATTGACTCTTTAGAAAGCCTAGCTTCAGCTTCAAGTCTAGCACTTTCCCATTGAGCCATGTGACGAGTTGTTGGTGAAGCTGGAGCTTGTTTAGCTAACCCAAATGATGGTAATGGCTCATGTGTTTTTGGATCAAGACCCATACATAAAAGACGCTTCTTCAAATGTGTGTTCCATAAGTTCTTGATCTCGTTGTCTGTTCTTCCTGGAAGCTGTGCTGCTATAGCAGCCCACCTGACCAAAAACAGAACACAATTCAGACATTGTAAAAGAAGCAAGTGGAGAAGAAGCAAATGGAGAAGAAAGCAAAAGACCTGTTGCCGAGAATGGCGTGAAGCTGGACAACAAGTTTCTCTTCCTCTGGAGTGAAAGGACCTCTCTTTATGTCTGGTCTTAGATAATTTGTCCATCTCAGTCTACAACTCTTTCCACAACGAAGTAAACCTGTAAACGAAAACTTGTAAAGATGAAGACTTTTCTCCATTGAAACTCTCAAGAACCATAGTTATGGAGTTTTGAGGTAAAGATTGAAACTTTTCTACATTGCAACTCTCAATAACCATACTTATGGAGTTTTGAGGTAAAGATTGAAACTTTTCTCCATAATCTCTCTCAAGAATCAAAGAAAGTTGAAAGAGGAAGGAAGAATCTGAGTTTTTTTTTAATACCTGCAAGCTTAGGAAGTGTTCTCCAGCTTCCATGGCCGTTTTTGTTGATATACTCAACAAGAATCTGATCTTCTTCAGGAATCCATGGACCTTTCTTCAAACCCTTCTTGTCACAACAAGGCGTTCTTCCCATTTTCCCTCAAGTTACTAACAAAAAACCAAAAAAAAGAACCTTTTTAATTTTTTCAGGTTAAAGAAGAAGAAAGCAAAACTATTGAAGAGCTAGTAAACTTTAGAGGGTCATTATAGAAGAGACAGACAAACCTCAAAGTGAAGATAGGATCAAAAAAAGAGAATTTTTGAGAAAAGAGTAAAAATATTATAAATGTTTTTTGTTCTGGTCTGGTTTTAATGTCGTAAAGATGAAATATAAAGCCAAAAGGAAATGAAGCAATGAATTGACGATCTATAATAAGATATTAAAAAAAAAAGGAACAAGACGAAAAAAATGAAATAAATACGATTGTGTGTGGAATAGAGAAACGAAAAAGGACGATCAGCGAGCTTCGAGCCGGCCCTGGGCATTTATTACACGCAAAATTCGTACTACATTTATTAGATTTTGTATTTAATGTCTGTGACAGTAACAACAGGTCGTTCAAACAAAAATTCATGATTGCAATATATTTTTTTTTTTTTGAATTTTGAGATATGCATAATGTAGCATGCAAACAAAAAGCCAAAGGGTTTCCTAGATTATTTTGCAAATCCTTATTGATGTGTTAGAGGTTTGTGAAAGAAAAAAAATGTATGTTTATGAAATGAGAGAAAAAAAAACAAATTTTTACTATAATTTTTGGTTGTAGAAAACAGCTAAGGCAAAAGTAAAGAAGTGGGGGCTAGGGTTCTCAGGTTTTCAAATGGCAAGAAACAAGAAATAAAAAGAGCATTTATGGCGGATAATACGTGACATCCTTCTTTAGCCGGAAAATAAAAATCAGAGAGAAACATTTATTGTTTATTTATCTAAAAAAAGATTGAAGAAAGTTAATAAATAAAGGAGCAGAAGTAGAAGTAATGGTGACGATAGTGACTTGTAGTAGCCGAAGGAAAAGAAGTTTGATGCGGCAAACACGTTTTAATAAATTAAAATTATTAAGTTATTAAAACGAAAGAACTGTTCATAATAATAATAATAAATGCATATATATATTTTCTTTTGTATTCTGTGAGTTATTTTTGTCGAAGTTTCTGTGCTGAGTTTTTTACTCGAATTTTACTATTACCAGTTTTCTCATACAAAATTATTACAGAGTCATGAAATGATCCAATAGAAGTTCGACACGTAATGTGTATAGGCTTAGGGATCACAAAGAGTGAAAGAAAGAGGAGATACTGTTGGGTTATATGACCTTGCAGACAATATATGGGGTCCACTAAATATCTAATAAATGTGGTCAGCTACAAGTCAAAGCCCCTCATTTTTATAATTTATGAATTTTTCTTATTTATATTTATTGTTTCATATATATGCTTCTTTTTCTGCTACATATGTTTCATATATGTTTATTTTCATGAAAGTATTAAATGCGACATAGCTATTCATCAAATTGCGAGAGTCCACAGGAATCTGAATCAAATGTGTTACATTTCAAACAGAAAATGGATAACACTCAAATGAATAAAAAAAAGCAAATCATTATAATAAAAAATGGGCAATTTCACAGAAACGTTATTTGTTCAATACGCTATAAGGTTTGACTAACTAAACCATGAGATTCCACAGAGATTACCATTTACCAGCTAAGCTAAACTATTAGGTCTGGAAGAATTTTATTGGGAGAAAAATCAAAAATAGTGTGAAAAAGCAAAAACCAATAAGTGTAACAACTTTCATGATACGGAGATCCAAAATGGGCTAAAGCCCAGAGTCATTCAAACAAAGCCCAAGACGAAGAAAGAATAAAAGGAGAGAGTCATATGTTCTATCTTTATTACTAAACTAGCAAGTCAAAGATAAGTGCAACGTAAAAGGTTTGATAGAACCACGAAATAAAGTCTAGAGAGAGAGATTAGAAACCAAACCGAACCAAACCACTCTGGTTCGTCTCTGTAATGAGTCTTTACATGAACCGCCAAATATCAGTTGCTTCATCTCCTCTTCCTCATCGAGCTTTGAGATACACCTGAACATTTGAGGCACATTGGTCTTACGATGCAAATGTAGCTTTTCATTTCAATGTTGTCTTGACAAAGCTAAAAGAGCGATTCGTCTCACCATTTTTAATCACCCTGTGTTTCTAGTCGGGGAAACGTTTCTGCGCGGTTACAAGTTTACTGACAGTAGATTGCTTTATCGATAAGAGAGGGAATTGGTTTGATTTCAGTGCCAAGTTCTTGCTCAGTCTGATACCTGTTTTCAAAATGCGATAATGACTGAGAAAGCTATAACATGAACTCGGTAAGAGCAATGGAAAGAAAAAATGAAAGACGTACATTTTGAAACGGTCCTCGTATGTTACCAAATTCACAGCCAACCCGAGGTGTCCAAACCGTCCTGATCGGCCCACCTGAAACATTTCACCACAGGAATTAAAAAAAAAATGAAGATGTACAAGAGAAGAAGCTAGATCATAATCGGGTTTTGTTTTGACATACCCTGTGTAGATACGACTCAGAAGTCCTAGGAAAATCGAAGTTAATCACTACATTCACAGCTTGAATGTCAATTCCACGAGTAAAAAGATCTGCACCAGTCATTTTTCAATAGGTCATATGATCATCTACACTTGGTCATTTATTCAAAGTACATGCTCAATGAACATAAAGCATACCAGTGCAAACGAGATTCCTACAAGCACCATTGCGAAACTCATGGAACACTCTGTTCCTGTGGTCTTGAACCATCTTCGCATGAATGTAGAAGCATGAATAACCAAGTTCTGTAATTTTCTTAGCCAACAATTCCACGCGATTGACAGAGTTGCAAAAGATAATCGATTGGTTTATTTGCAGCTGCGATTAAAAACCATGATTAGTTTCGATCATCCGAATCGAGTAGCAGTTATAATTTATGTAGTTATATGGATTGTTTAGATATCTGACCTTGGAGAAAAGTGTGTTGAGGCAGTGAACCTTCTGTCTTTCTTCAACAAAAGCATAGTATTGCGTGACACCCATAAGCGTGAGTTGATCCATGAGATTGATAACGTAGGGCTTCCGGAGATGCCGATCCTTAAAAGCTTTCACAGTGACAGGAAATGTAGCGGAAAACATCAAAAACTGACGATTTTGTGGCAGAAACTGTATCAGTTCCTCTAGAGAAGGTTGGAATTCTGCAGACAAAAGCTTGTCGGCCTGGTAAAATCATTTGAAAGGAGTCAGCAACAAAATCAACGACAGGTAGAAGATATAATATAAGACGAAGGAACTTTAAATTCACCACAGTCAGGGGTAATGACTGTTAACAGTCATAAATAAAACTATGTATATATATCAAATAGGATACAATCAATTTTGTTGTATCCTGAACAAAGAAACCCAAGGAAAAAATTACGAAAATTCTAATCCTACAGCTTTTTCTTCAACGAGTTTAGCAATAAAGACATGAAATATACTTGAGGAGCCATATCACAAAACCAAGATATAGTTAGGGTTTAGATATCAGGAAAAGATATCATGAGCTCACCTCATCCATTACAAGCATCGTACAGTCTTTCAAAACACACACACCCTTTTTGGTAAGATCCAATATTCTTCCAGGAGTTCCAACCAGTAGATGTACAGGTTGATGTAATCGCATGATATCATCTCTCAGACTGGTACCGCCAGTGGTGACCATAACCTGGATATTCAAATATTTGGAAAGCTCCTTGCAAACTTGTGATGTCTGAAGCGCCAGCTCTCGGGTTGGAACTAGAATCATCGCTGCATAAGAAGATAGAACAACAAGTTGTGCAAAGACATAAAGAGCCAGTCAGTAAGTATCTTTCACAAATAAAAAAAGAACACAGTCATTAATTTCACTAAACCAAGAGTTGCACAGACAACTGATCATTCATAAACTCAACATGGAAAAAGAGGTAGAGAGAAAGCCTCAAACAGAGAAGATTCCCAAAGGGAAAGCAGCATACCTTGAATAACATTGTTATTTGGATCAATTTTCTCGAGGACTGGAATACAGAAGGCACCAGTCTTTCCTGTGCCGTTTTTGGCTCTAGCAAGAATGTCACTACCAGTTAAAGCAATTGGAATGCTCTCTTCCTGAATAGGAGACGGCTTCTCAAAACCCTTTTCATAAATTCCCTTCAGCAGATCTCTTTTCAGAAAGTAATCTTCGAATTCATTTCCTTTTGTAGCTGTCACATCCTGCAGACAATATGGAGAGACAATGTTCAACAGGAACAGCTCAACAAATGGTTAACATACACATAAGGAGAATGTCCATTTATCAAGCCTTTGTTACATGATTCTATAGACGAACGACTGTCCTCAAGATTCAGAATTCCTATAGAATAGAACGCAGAAGAAAGTAATAAAGGAAGCCGTACCGCTGTCTGATAACGAGTATCAGGAGGTGGGAGCCTTAACGTTGCCTTCCAATCCTGGCCACTAAGATTAACAAAGAACACAGTATCCATAAGCACACACAAGAGCTACAACTTCACCTCAAAATCAAATCACATTACACACAGATCTTTAAACAGCACAAATCATCCAAACCAAAACAACCTTCCTTATCCTCCACTACAGCATCATATGATTCTAACTCAACGTATTCAACAGTAGTTTTCAAGAACGTATACACAGCACATAGAGAAGAAACAAGAACTTACTTAGGATCGTTGCTAGCTTCGGGCTGAGACGTCGTCTTCTGGACTTCATTCGCGTTATTCGCGTTTCCAGGAACCTGAGCGCGTCTTGACCA